TACAAAGATAAATCAGAGTATTTCTGCGTGTGGCTCTGATTTATTGTTGGTTGATGGTTGGTGTTGTCATGATGATCACACGCTGATGTCATAACCTTTTTATGGGCCTCGTGACCTGTAGGTAGAGCAGCGGCCATGACACCTGACCAATGTCTCTCTCTGTCTCTCTGTCTCTCTGTCTCTCACTGATGCACTGCTGCTGTTATTGTACAGGGACAAAGATAACAAACGTCCGAAGCAGCCCTCCCACTGCAGGAGGGTGAAAGCTGAATTACTCGGTGTTGCATTTCAGTGCAGCTAATAGGTTGAATTACTTTTGGCTCTATAAATAACTATTATACACTATAACTTTGTAGTAAATCATTTTCCCGAGAAAACAACAATATTTAAAATAAAAACAACACAAAACCCACATTTTGAGGTGGGGGGGTCAAGGGGCTGAATTGTATTTATTAGTTTAGTCACAGTTTTGGAGACTTTATACATGGATATACATACTGTAGTAGAGTAAAGTGACCATTTACAAAATCATGGCTTTAAATACCTTTGAGACAAAAGTATAGAAATGTTATGGTAACTCTACAAACAGGACGGCAAACAGGATGGCAAGATATATTTTTGAGAACCACCATAGTTTGTACCACCTTTAACCCGCCCCCCAAAACAAAATATTGTTTGAATTAAGGAAATATGTATAATTAAAATGATCACAAAATAGAACACTAAAACAGGGTCTTTCTAATCATCCGTCATTCATGGAACACAGTGGTCCATATATATATAGATATATATCTATATCTATATATATGCTGCGTGACGTGTGACCATAAAGGGGAAATAACCTTTAGATAAAACATTGATCACTATCATTGGTCAGTTTCATCTATTTCACTAACCAGCTGATTGGTGTCAACTGGAGAAAATATCGTCTCATTCCAGTGTTTAACAATGTATCGGCGCATCTCCAAATCAGCCCTCCTTTTCCACGTTCCACGTTCGTTCTGCTGTGTTATTGAACACGATTGAAAATAAATGATACATTCGTTTCCCTCCCTCTCTTCATCTCAGGTCTGGTTCCAGAACCGTCGGGCCAAATGGAAGAAGCGCAAGAAGACCACCAACGTGTTCCGCGCTCCGGGCACACTCCTGCCCACTCACCACGGCTTGCCTCAGTTCCCTTCTGCCGCGGCGGCAGCGGCGGCCCCGG